CACCTTGACCGAGTGGGTGTCTTTCATGTCAAGGGTCTCTAATTGAAGGTTTACTGATACATTATGCCTCTTCCTTCCCCGAATATACATAGGAGGCTTCTTCAAGTCCTCTAACCACTCCCACTTGTCTCTCGCCTCTGAAGCAGTCTCCGGCTGCTCTTTGAGCGCATCTATTAATTCTGAGGTCACCTCCCCTTTTTGGGCAGGATGAATCCACCCGTTTAGGGTGGCTCGGGCAGTGGCACTGTTCGTGGCTAACCTAAGGGCTCTCCATGTCCAGTGGGGTCCAAAGGGCTCGTAGTAGTTGTCGATGACTTCCCTATGGCTGGTAAGGGTATCGGCATGAACGGAGTGGGATCTTCCTTTACGCATTACTGGAATATCGGAGAGGAGGTGGGACTCCTTGTCGGGGACTTCTTCTACTGTAACCTAGTGAGTTCTTGATCCTTGAGGCGGCATTTGGTCACTGTTCATCAAGGTGGAGGAGGAGGACTCTCTGTCCTGTCTTCGACCCTGGCCAAGGGTGCTTGTGCGCAGCATTGCAACCTCCTCAATCTGCTCCTGCTTATCCTCGCTTACCCTGGTGGTACTCCTGTTGGCCCTTCATGGACGCACACATATTGGCTCCCCAGAGGGGTCCCCACCTTTTGCTGCCGCATTCTGCATTCGTGTGGCTACTGAGTGGGGGTGGCCCTTCCGGTTCCTAGCCTCAGCTGCTTTTCCAGCACTGACCGTTGCTACAATTGGGGTAGGAGCAGCAGCCAGGGTCGTCGAACATTCTTCCCGACCAGGTCGACTGGGCCCAGTCTGATCCTGACATGAGGGCCTCTCCATTGCATCCGGAACTTTCCCTATGCTGTCAGGCAGGGGTTCCCGAGGTAGGACGGCCCCTAGGGGTTCATTGCTGGATGCAGGGCACATAGAGCAGCGGTAATCCACTCCTACACCATTGGCGTTTTGTGATTCTTCTTCCTTAGTTTCTTCTACTGTTAACGTGGCGAAAAAGTTTGTATATTGTTCGTATGGGGTACCTACATATGTATTATAAGTCCGACCAGCAGGAGAGCGTGCACCAGATAAAACTAAGTCTTTTGCTGACGCCATCGAATTGCTTATTTCGACGCCGGCTCGTCTTTTGACGACTTATTGTCCTTCACCTCTTCCACCTTTGTGTCTTTTCCTAATTCTTCCTTCTCTGCCTCGGTGAGTAACTGTCAAAGTCGTTGCGTGGGGATCTTCTTGCGTGGGGGGAGCTTGACAGGGATCCATTTGGATTTGTCCATTGGACATTTATGGTCCCAGCTCCACCCGGTATTTCTGCACTTGAAGCATCACTTCTCACTCCGCAACTTGTTGATCTCCATCGGCTGCCCAGCTCCACCATATGTCACCCCCGTGGCATCCTTCTTGTCGCTAGAACCCCCTGAACCTCCTGCCTTTGTGGAGGACTGATTTTGGTTGCCTCGACCTGAACCACTGTTAGGGCTTGGGGAGGGCTTACTGCCCTGATGCTGGGCAAGGCCGTACCGATAGTTGGCGTCGATCCTTTCGATTCGCCACTTCCACTTGGCATAGGTGGTGGGGTGCATGTTGTCCCCGTGCATGATAGTGTTGCGAACCGTCAGTCGTATAGTGGCTTCAATGGCCTCGAACATCTGCTTCTCATCTCCGAACTCCTCACACTTGTGGGCTAGCTCTTCAAACTTCGCAAAGAACTCTATAGCCGTCTTGAAGTCTGCCTGCCGGAGCTTCTTCCATTCCTGCTTCCAGATTGCTATCTCCGCCACTTCTTGGAACCTCATCGTGAGATCCTCGGTAAACTCCTGCCATGAGGGCAACCTCCAGTGTCCATTCTCATCGCGGTATTGGTAGTACTGGTCGTTCCACCACTTCTGTGCATTTCCACGTAAATAGGACTGGGCGAACGTAATTCGATAGGGGTTCTGCCCAGCCATATTAAGAGTGTAGTACATTGGGAACACTTGGAAGTGGAGTTCGCAATGATGGAGATACCGTGTGATATCCGAAGATACCCCAGTGAAATATTCTGGCTGCATGATCAACTTGGGTTTCACGTCATTCCAGAGGTTGTTGGTGGCCCTGGGGGCTAGCTGCCACCTGGGTGGCATACCGGGGGGTGACAGCGGTACCAACAGGATAGGTGGATTTGGGGGTCATGGCAATGATCGAAGTCTCGGGTTATGTCCCGGAGACGGATATCCTCCCGGCTTGGGTGGTAGTGGGGGCGGCAGCCCCGCAGGTGGCTTTTTCTGTACTGGGGGTACCATGGAGTCTTTCTCTTTGTCCATATTGGACGGTCCAGCTCCCTCGTCGTCCACCCATCCTTGGTCCATGCCCCCTCCAATGGCGAATTTGATGGAACCCAACAGATTGGGCATTGGTGCGGGTTGTCAGTAGGCCACGCATCCAGGGCATGGGTCTTCTGGGTTACATAGGTTCCAGACTATCGTGGCCCTATGCCAAGCATCCACTTCGAGAATGTTCCTCATGAGGTAAACATCTCCCGCATGCCGTGCATCAATGTAGTCTTCTCCCGCTTCAGTGAGAAGCCACTGTGCATCCTGTACCATGTCTTCCACTATAATCTCATACAGCGCCTCCCACTCTAGGAACACTAGTGCGGCCGGTACATATTGTACCGACCTAGTGAGAACCGCCTTCACCTGTCTCATCACTTCTCTGGCGATTGCGGAATTCGGTGGTCTCCTCGGCATTCCACTGCTGGCTTGCTCTCGTGGCCCACCTTGGCTCTCCTCCTTCTCGTTGTCGTCTTTCTCTGGTTGCTCTTTGTCTCTTCCACTTGGCCAGATCGGAACAGTCTTCATCAAAAATCTCATCGAGGAAGCGGTATCTGGCTTTGTCGAGACATTCAATGTTGGTGGTTCTTCGTGAGGCTTCGCAGAGTTGAAGCTCTGCTGCTCCGATTCTTCGATGGGCCTCCTCATCTGTTGCGTCTGGCTTGAGGGGGAGATATTCAAGGTCTCGTATGGTGTGGCGCTCTGCATTGCGGGTGCATGTGCTGCTTGTTCTTGCTTGGTCCATTCTGTCTGCTCCTTCTGGGGTGACCCTGGCAGTTTGAAGGTCAAAGTTGGACTCGACAAGCGTGTTGTACTCATCAGTCCATGGTCACTGATTGAAGGGGATGGGGGCAGTGAACGCTCTGGGTGCGACTGACGGGGTGAAAGCAGAGACTCTGGGGAGTTCGCTGGTGGAGGCACTTCCTTCAGCATCATTGGGTGCTGTATCGGGGTGAAGGTCTGGGTTGTACGACTCAATGGTATCCCAGATATGCTGCGCTGTCTCAGTGGGGAGGGCAATGGTCCTCGGGATGGGAGTGTCCTCGGGCCCTGCAGTTTGGGCTGATACTCCAGCCACAGGAGTTTCTTCCTGGGCGAAGACCCAACTTGTGTGGGGGTACCATGCCACAGGGATCCCTTGCCACTCTCTTCCACTGCCTGGTGCAATTCTTCCATCATAGGGGTCTGCAGCAGCTGCACCGGTGGTAGTTGCGGTGGAGGCCCCAAGGCCGAGCTCTCCACTGTCCTCTGCAAGGTCATCTCTGTGGAAGTACTCCCTGGTATTGGCTTCTGTGGCAAGCCACTCACTTCTGGAATAGGGATCAGACCCTTCTTCCATCGTGATGCCATCGAGGAGGTCTTGGAGGCAGATCCTTTCGAAATCGCTGATGTTGTTGCCTTCTTCGCCCTCATCCATAGTCCCTCCTTCCTCTCCTCCAACGGTAGGGAGGTTGAGGAGGCCTGGTATGGGAGTGTCGCTGTCTCTGAGATGGATTCCTCATACATCTGTGATGTCGATGGAGGAGGCTCTTGAGGTTGGGGAAGACTCCCTGGAATCTGAGGATGTTCCTCTGGGTGTGATGGGTCGTCCATCGTGCAAGGTAGGAATGTGTGGATATGGGTTTATGGGATATGGAATTGGTAGGTGTGGAACGTAATGAAATGGTAGTCGTGCCCTTCGGTGGTGGATGCAGCACCTGTATAATTGCCTCAGGGCAATGGCCAGGAGCACTCCTGCTAGTAATCCGAATGCTACTGCGATGGTTGGAAGCAGTTCAGCAAGCAGCATAGGCACTTGGTATTTGGGTTGAGATCAATCTGCGAGTAATCCATAGGCAACAATTAACAGTGTAGCCCTCAGGATTTGGAACACGGTACCTGTCACGATGATCAGTATTACTACTGCTATCGCAACGAGTTGGATTATGATGATGAAAAGTAACAGGTTGGATTTTAGATGTGGGTGCTTTCCCGTTGATCCACCCATAGTGTGCTAACAGTCATGAAACTGTCCTCATAAACACATGGTGGTGATCTCTCTGGTCAAGCGAGAATTATCGATAAAGGTATTGGGCAGCGTTCGTTCTCTGACATGGCACTGGGCAATATGTGACAAGCTTCAGCTAAATGTTAGCCACCAACTCTACAAACTAGATCAAATGAGGATCGCCACTCGCACTTCGGTGGATTGATACACTCGCAGGCCTAAATCTGTATGGAATGAGTGGGAGCAAACTTAGATAGACGTGAAACAAGGAGTTCAAGTTGGGTAGATTAAACCTTAGCTGAAGCTGGGGTTTAGACCAGCTGAGGCTCTACTTAAATACACAATGATAGTGCTAATAATAGTACTGTGAGAAGACGTCCGTGGTGATCGCATGAGAGAAGCATATAACATAAGCAGAAAAAGGTAAGAAAATGAAAAAGAAAGAATAAACCATAACATCATTGTCTGATGACGGTGACCAACACACATGCCTCTTTCCGAAATCCTACCAACTCTCAGCGTCGTGTTCACATTGTTTACAATCACAGTCCTGGTAATTATCTTTCGAGAAATATACTGGTGTTGCGCAAGAACACGGGAACGATGAGCAAGACTCCCTTTCCACTACATTCTGCATCTTCCAGTACCATATCCAGTAGTGCCATACCCGCACATAGCACAACCAACTCTACACAATGGATGACCCATCATGCCCAGAGGAACAGACGAGTCGAGTTCCAACTCCTACTGAACAGCCTCAGTTGACATCGCAGACATCTGGAGTGTACTCCTCGATGGGGGAGACGCACTCCTACCAGGTCTCTTTGACCAGCCTGCAGTCAGAGGAGAGCCAGGAGATGAAGAAGAAGGGCCTGTGGGATTGGGCCAAGGAGGCCCTCCCAACCTCTTCGACGAAGAAGGGAGGCAGCTCCAGAACTTCCTTGAGAACGATGGGGGCAGCAAAGAAGGGCCTGACTCCTATACCAGAAGCAAGTGGCTCCAAGCCAAAGCGGACACTCACAGGACAAGAATCAATGACATTGAAGATGATGATGGAGAGCTCTGTCTTGGGGCCTCCACTGCAAATACCACCAGAGCAGGTACCAGTGAGCCTGCTGGACACCGAGTGGCTGAGGGCAGCTCAGGAGAACAGAGAGGAATACCAATTGCCTGGTATCCATGCACTGGGTGGGTATTCACCCCAGAAGAAAGAGATGACGAGTCTGAGGAAGAGCCTACCACAGGAATGCCCACAGCCACAGGGGCCCTGGTCCACCAGCAGGGAGTTGAGGGAGTCATTGTACTTGACCTTGTGGCCCAGCAGCAGATCTGGAACAAGATCGAAGCCCACAACTCTGATATGGTTGGAACAACTTCCGCAACCCGGAGACTCCCCAATATCCCCACTTTCACCCCGTCAGTCCCACCATGGGCCTTCCAGGTCCCTGTCCCCATCCTACAGTGACCTTGGACTCAACCCCACCATGAGGTCATTGAGTCCGACTTCGATGCTAGAGATGCCAGGCTCCCCGCAGTTAGACAGGCCCAAATGGAGCGAGCAAGAGCATGGGAGGCACGCATCACCGAGACTGAGTATTGGGCCATCCGAGGTAACTTCGACTTCCCCCTTGAATCAGACGCAACCCCAGCTGAGGCAAGAGAGCAGATTGAGCTCGCTGGAAGGAGACTCCAGTATGCCAACCAGCGAGCCACAAGTTACAAGGAGTGAGACTTTGCCCTCAATAACTACTGCAATGAAGTCTGGGCCGAAGACTCGGACCTCAGAAGGTGGAGAGCCCAGAATGCCTTGAATGCCACCACATGTGGCCATACGACCAGAGATAATGAATCAGATTCAAGCCATCGTCACTAGGAAGGTGGAGATGGTACCAATGCTACTGTGGATGCTCCCGTGGGAGGAGCTATATTTAATCATAGCAGAAGATATGGTGGAAGACCTGTGTTAAGCACTAACTCGAACCTTCGCCAAGGCTGATCTCTATCCTGTCACTTGCATTCAGTGATTCAGTGTTAGAGAGGCATTTGGTAGATTGCGAGAAGTTAGGCGTCACTTTATAGCAAAAGCAAGGAGCTTGTAAGAGTTAGGAGTATATAACCTTAGCCGAAGCTGGGGTCCAAGGCCACAGCATAGGCTAGCTTAAATACATGTTAGACTCGTACTAAGAATAGTGTCTACAAGGGCACGTGCAGCGAGAAGTGCGTCTTTCAATGAATGAGGAGTGAGGACACTAAAAGAAGTGTACTCCTGACAAATGAGAGTAAAGAGCGCACATCACCTGCAGCTGCATGGGACTCCGTCTGAATAAGCTGCATCCCGTAGACCGCCCTCGACTGGCGGTCAACTCTCGTCCAATTACTAAGAAGCATGATGGCGCATGCAGGTCGCTGGTCAGCTGGGAGGCAGCAGCGTGAACTGGGGTGATGGCAGCCGGGTAACCGGGTAAAGAGTGTGCCGGCGGGATATCATGGGTCTGAGAGATAAGATAGGTAGGTCCGGGGCTCCGATGGATAAGGATAAGATAAGATAAGGAAAATAGGGGTAAAACCATAATAATACCCCCCAACTAAGACTGTTGTCCCGACAGTCCTTTAGCCGTATTCACTCCCTGAGTCGAGGGAGTTAATAGATTCCATATCCCATTCGTAGTCCTTGTTTTGTTTCCAAGCAGACATGCCCTGTTCTGTTGAAATAATCCTAGTGGGTATGGAAGCACACGAGGGATCAGGGCACGAATATGGGATTGACGCAGTACATGAGCAGTGGGTACGTAGTCAATCGAGTAAAGAAGAGGAAAGCGTAGCTACAAAAATTTACCAGTATGTACATGTGACTGATTACCAATAAACACGTGAGCCATGAGCTCGATATCCAACACGTTCTTCTAAGAGGAAGCTAGGGTCGGTCTGAGTCGTTAGAGGAGACATGGAGCACTCGTCTTTGAAGACGTCTTCATCCGTGTCCGATGAATAAAAGCTCTGCTCGTTGAAGGATAATGGATCGGTATGATTCCTGCTGAGAGTTGGAAAGAGTGTTGAGCTCTCGGTTGTTGAAGAGCCCGGAGATGATATGGTTATACATCCCCCTTCGTTTTCCAAGTGTCGCAAATCGTGATCCTGTACACGGTCTTCCTTGTTCTCGTATTCCTTGACGAGTTCTTTGGCATTGGCGAGATTGCTCCTCTTGACCCAAGTAGCCTCCTCCACTGGGTATCCCTTCCATTTGACCAAATATTCTGTTATGGTCCTCCGGCTGTGTCCTCGACCGACGACGCGGTCGTGGTCCTGAAGTAGTTCTTCTACTTTATATTCTTCCTTGCCTTCCACGAGTTCCGGCTTGGGTGGCGGAGGTTTTTCCTGATTGGAAAACTCCGGGGGGATGTACGGAGTTAGGTATCGTTCATTGAACTTGTTGTGGATTCTCCATCCTGGCAGTAGCTTTAGTTCATATGCAGAGGGCCCCTTTTTGGAAACTACTTCAAAGGGGCTGACGCGTTTGTCGCCTAGCTTTTTTGCTGGTTGAGGGAGGTGAAGGTTGGTTGAGTCCAACCAGACTTTATCTCCTGGTTGGTACTCCTGCGCAGGGCGAGTGTGTTTGTCATAGGCCTTTCTCATAACTTTGATGGCTTTATTCAGAGAGTCTTCTGCTTGCTTGCGTACTCTCTGGAGGCTTTCGATGAAGTCAGTTACTGATGGTGTTTCCGACAGCCACACCGTGGTCGGGCGAATTTCTCCATCTCATCTGTAGACTACTTTGATGGGAGAAAAGCCCATTGCAGAATGTTGGCAGTTGTTGTGAGCGAACGCTGCCCACTGCAGCCATTCGCTCCAATTGTCCTGTTTGTGGTTAACAAAGACTCGAAGGTATTTTTTGAGTTCTTGGTTAACCTGCTCCATTTGTCCATCTGTCTGAGGGTGATAGGCCATTGACAGATTTCCTTGGATATTCATCATCGCATATAGTTCAGTGATGAATTTTGAGACAAATTGTGGGCCTCGGTCCGAGATGACTTTGGAGGGGGTGACTCCAAATCGACAAATAATTTCGTCATGTAGGATTTTGGCCCACCCACTTGACGAGAGTTCCTTCGTGCATGGGATCAGCACAATGTATTTTGAGAATTGGTCTACGATGACTAGTACTGCATCGTAACCCTTGGATTCTGGAAATCCGGTAATCATGTCGACCAAGATGTGTTCCCAAGGTCGAGATGGTATAGCATTGGGATGTAGCGGAGCTGCTTTCCGCTGTGTATCAGTTTTCGTCCTCTGACACGCCTTGCATCCTCGTACATAGGTTTCCACATCCCTTCGCATTTTGGGCCACCAGTAGTCCCTTAAGACTAATTCCTTGGTTTTTTTGATGCCTGGGTGTCCTGCAGAGACATGATCGTGGTGATGGGAGATAAGTTCTCCTCATAGAGTGTGGTCATGGGGAACATAGATACGTCCATCATAGAATAGAAGGTGGTCTTTTTCAACGATCCCCTTCTTGTGGTTGAGGCTCGAAGCGATCCCTCGGTCCCACCGTTGGTGATCGCTTGTTGCTCTCCAAATTTTGCCATGAATTTCTTCTCCCATTGGCATTATCAAGGCATGGAAGAATTCTGGCTTTAAGAGGACAATATCGTCATTGTCCTTCTTGCCCTGGTCATGGTCGGCCCGCCAACTTAGGAGGTCGGCCTTCCTATTAGATGCTCCTGGCTTGTGGTTGAGCATGAAGTGGTACTCCGCTAGCTCAGTGACCCATCGCGCTTGTCTGCGGTTGAGTTTCTGGGGCTTGCAGAAATATTGCAGATTTGAGTGATCCATCCAGATTTCGAAATCTTGATGGGCACCCATAAGATAGTGTTGCCACTCTTCTAAGGCGATCATTATTGCTAGCAATTCCTTGTTGTAAATCTCGTAGTTCCGTTCTGTCGCAGAAAGGGATTTCGATAGGAATGCAATCGGGTGCCATTTTCCTTCCTGCTCCTGCGATAGGATGGCCCCGATTGCCCCTTCGCTGGAGTCTGCCTCCAAGCGAAACTTGTTATAGTTGTTTGGCATCGCCAAAACGACTCCCGTTGCGAATTGACATTTGAGTTCCTCAAACGCTTCTTGTTGTTCCTTCCCCCATGTCCAAGGGTTCTTCCCTGTGAGTTTTGTCATTGGTTTGATGATTGTGCTATAGTGCCAGATAAATTGCCGGTAGAAATTGGTGAATCCTAAGAAGGATTGTAGTTCCTGTTTTTTGGAGGGTGCTGGCCAGTCCATAATACCAGCGATTTTTACTGGATCCATTTTAACAGATCCTTCACTGATAATGACTCTGAGGTACTCTGTTTTGAGTACCTCAAATTCGCATTTTTCCACTTTCAAAAACAACTTGTTCTTGCACAGAATCCTTAGGACTTCCCGCATGATTCTTTGGTGTTCCGCCTTATCCTTGGTGAAGATGAGGATGTCATCCAAATAAATGGTGACCTTTCCTTGAGCAATGAGATCTTTGAAGATATCATTCATCATCCACTGGAATGTGGCCGGCGAATTGGTTAATCCAAAGAACATAACCATGGGCTCATAGAGCCCTCGGTTCATGCGAAACGTGGCTTTGAACTTGTCTCCCTTCTTGATTTGGACGTTATTGTATCCCCAATGGACGTCTAGCTTAGTGAAATACCTCGCATCCTTCAGCTTATCCATAAGATCAGAGATAAGCGGTAAGGGATAGCGGTTCTTGATGGTTATTTCATTAAGCTTGCGGTAGTCTTGTACAGGCTGCAATTTTCCATCCTTTTTCTTGACAAAGAAAAAGGGAGATGCCATTGGGGATTTCGAGGGTTGAATTTGGCCGGTGGCCAGGTTTTCATCGAGGAATTTGTCCAATTCCTCCTGCTCCTTTAGGTTCAAGGGATATATCTTGCAGTCTAGACTGGCATTGGCATTGGGGATAAGCTCAATGGCATGGTCCCAAGGCTTGCGAGGGGGAAGTTCGTCACAGTTTTCCTTGGTGAAAACATCAATGAAGTCTCGGTAATGTTTGGGGACAATCTCCTTGAATGACTTTACTTTCTTTCCCTTGTTGGCCTTGGCTGCCAAGTCGTTGGCTTTATGCCCCACCGCTCGTACGTGGAAGGCTTCCTCGAAGTCTATGATGAGGATGGTGTCTCCATCCTCGACTTCAGTTCCCCACTGTTGTTCTGGATCCTCATCTGGGAGGCGGAACGGTACCTTACAGCAGTCACAGCATGCTAAGGTTACCGAACCTGTATTCCAGTTGATAAGTGGGTTGTGCCTTTGTAGCCAGTCATGTCCTAGGAAGATGGGTGTGGTTCCTAGGTCGACAACTGCTAATTTGATACGTTCGCTGTGGTCTCTGATCTTGAGTCGGACTTCAGCGAATTCGGTGATGTCACTGCCCTTATTGCGAGTACCATCCGCGTTATAGACCAGAGTGGGGTGAGCCGCTTTATGCATGGTAATACCATGATCATGGGTCCACTGTCAGTCAATAGCACTTCCGGTACAGCCACTGTCGATCAGGGCCTTCGCAGAGTGATGGGCCATAGTATCAAAGGTCTCCAACTGTAGAGTGATTGTGATATTTTGCCCTTTTGCTCCGTGGATGTACTGGGGTGGTTTGGTAAGCTGGTCCATGTGTTCCAGCTTGCGGTATTCATCCAGATAGGACTCCCCGACTTGGTTCTCCAAGTCGGTTACCAGCAGCTC